AAAAGAGAAAAGGGTAGTGCGCGATGTATATGACGGACGTATATGGAGAACGTTCGAAGAACTTTATAAATACAATAATAGAAATACCGGTTATGTTTAAAACGCACCTTCAATCTGATAGCCAGAGGGATTATTGTGAAAGATCGCAGTATGTATCATCATAAACGGGCCAAGATAAAAGTACATGTCATTCATCTCCACATTATATCCCTTTTATAGACACGGGACATTGTTGTTACAGGTAGGGCAAACACTTTATTCTAAAGTATCTGCCGGTTTCACGCTACATACATGTGTTCAGATTATCGAGAAAACTAGCGACGCAAGTTCTCCTCCATCACACCAGAGACCACATAATCTATCATATGGCCTTTGATCACACATATAATTGTATAGATACCCAGTGTTTATTGATAGCGATGAAGCAACTTATCAAAATTTACAGCCGACAGTATCATCTGCATTACTCTCTTACATAAGGTGAAATATCACAGGGTTGTCATGGTAACGATAATTTGGCATACTATTTATTGTGTTGTTCTTTAATCTGTGATTAGAATTTAAATACGTTTTGACGTGAGCATGTTAAGAAAAGAGAAGCTGTAAAACGAAATGTATTGTGGTCGAACCTATAGGCCTTTGTAAAAGCGAGTTTCAAGTCACCTACATAAAAACCTGTTTTCATGATAAGTATCTGCTAATCCGTGGCACGATTCCGACCATATCGTGGGCATGTGTTTGTGAATCATAATCGAATAGTGATGTTACAAGCAGTCCATGCCGCGTCAACAACACATGCAAACAGGGCGTAGCTACCATTATGAAAACAGCTCGAGCATTCACATGATCTTTGCTAAAAATAATTTACAGTAAATTACAGTAAACAGGTTATTCTTCATATCATAGCTTTCAGTGATGATTGTTTTTCCATCGACATGTATGAGGATGTTTTGTTACAGTCATGATTATATGTGAATCATCACTGAAATGCAGTTGTTTATTTATCATTTGTTTATCAATTATTTTAGAAAAAACACCAAATACTCGATGTATGGTATTGTATCAATGCAGCTGACATGTATAAAATATGTCCAAACATATTTGTATATGAGGAAATCACACTTGAATTTCCATGGTGGTAAGACTTCCGTCCGTAACCCCCAAACCTCCCCACCCCTCCCCCTTAAATTTTAACGATGAGGAAAACTTTCTTTGAGTGGCATTTATATGTCTTTCAGTATGTTCAGATTAAATAAACAAAACACGTTAAAAATCATCCTTATCGGATGAGGAATATATATTCAGGTGATATGATTTGACTAGAATGAAATTTAAGGGGGGATACAGGCGGAAGTCTTTCCACCATATTTTGAAGCTATTGAAATCATCAAACGTCAAACGATAACTCTTCAGGTCTCATAAAAATGAAAGTTGGACAAGCCCTCAATACCACCTAAATATAAGGCTTTGCAGCTCATATTGCTTACACGAAAAACATGGCTTGCTAAGTGCCTGGCAAACGCACGAGAATTGCAATACGGGCCTCTAACCACTGATTCTCCGTGACCTGGAGACACATGTGATTGAGCGTGTGTTGGGACGTCGTCTGTCATACAGACCCTGAAGCAAATATATCCAAGCCCACGCAAGTCTACAAAATGTGGCAAGTCTAGATTTTCACAGCTTCAGGAGAAAGTCTCAGGGCTCCTTTTCCTTATATAATATTCTTTTTTTTACTATCAACTTTTTTCTGTAAAATATGTTCATATCAGAGACTAGTTGTTAATCTAGTTCTGACGGGTAGAAGACAAAAGACAAAATGGATACTAGTGCTGTTACATTTTTTAATTATATATAAACATTCGTCCTTGTCTCGGGATAAATGTATATTTTCCACCAAATGTACATTCGGAGGATATCGAAATCTAGGTTAAGCTATTTGAATCATATTTACAATTAAAAGACCCAAACAATGGTGTGTTGTCCACATTTTTGGTTTTCCATAGTCACAGAACGATATTTTCTCCCCTTCCGTCTCTAGGAAAACTCACTGCAGGGTTCGGGTTATGGAGAGCCATACCGAACACCCACAGCTGGCGGGACCAACATCTCCAGTAACATTTACATCTGCCAACGCTTAATTCGCAAGTGGTGAGGCAATAAGCTAATGAGGCTAAGGGTCCTGTACCATGTTTGTGAAATATCTGTGATGCCTTATATGAAGTCTATCATCTAAGCAAGTCTAGCTATGTATGGCGTTAAGTCACTGCTTTAAGAAAGGCTCCTTTAGAATTTTATCTGGTCAATATTAGTATTTCCATCATATCGGAAAATACATAGACTAACGCTTAGTGTCTGAATATATATAATTTTGATAGTAACAAACAAGCCCATTTAAATTGAGCCCCAGGGAGACACGAGATTCAGTCCGGCTAGCCATGGCTGCAGTTAGCTATAGATATGTTTACTTTGTAACCCGACCCCCAAAGTGAGTTAGGGTTCTTGCAGATGTTAATAGACCCTGGACCTGAGGAGATCTAGACTTGCTTCATTTAAGGCTTTAGCATTGCACAGAGGGCTTGGCAGTAGGGGAAATAATGTGGTTCAGGGACTGTGAGACAGACTAAACAGTAAGGAAAATAATGTGGTTCAGGGACTGTGAGACAGACTATAAAATGCATGGCAACCTACACTTCATTGTGCCTATCACTTTAAAACACAAGGGTTATTTCCTTTGGGTTAACTGACAGGCTTTCGGTGTCAAATTATTTGGAACTCCAGCCAAAGGTGATGTTATGCTGTCTGGAAATATGGCCTTTTTGTAATGCCATAATGATAAGTGATTGTTGTACATATGATGTTTTTGAAGGATAATATCAGCGTACTAATACTTTGCACGTCCTCCACCACACACACACACACACTCTTTCCATACCCGTAAAGTTAACTTTCCAATATATGCCTGTAAGAAAATACTGTAAAGTAATGGGATTGCTGAATTTGGCCACCGGAGGTAGTGACCACAGCACTCTGGTTATACTGCATTGGGAGAGGACAGAGCTTGGCAAGATACCAATAAATATGCTTGTCATTTAAACCTTTATCTGATATTTGTGGAATGTGATTTTATAATTGAAGATGCTTCCTGCACCTGTAGCCCCAATATAGATGTTGTTAGTCCAAATTACTTCGCCTCTTTTTTCAGTTGAAATTAAGATCTTTGCCTTTTATCAAAATAATATATTTTCAGTCTTAATGTGCCTTTGTCGGGAATCAAACACCGGTTTTTAACCTGACAAGCGAACGCGCTTTAGCCACGAGCGTATCCCATCATTCCTTGATACTACTGTTGGTACATTTATTATACATTCAAGATTGAACCCAGTTTTGTCACCATGTATCCTTCAGTTTTTATGTTAGTGACATGATCTGCACACTGATAATTTAAAAAAAGTGGAATATAAATAATGATTGTTTGCGATCTTTATCCAATTTAGTTTTCCATTGATCTAGTAATTTTCAGTTTCTGTTTCCACGAAATTCTGTACGAAGGTACTTTTAACAGTTTCACCCAATAACAATAAAGCAATCATTAATACATTGTAATCATCTTTTATGAAAGTATAGATAATGAAATTTGTTCAGTTATGATCAGTCGGATAACTCATACAAGTGAGCACTAAAATTAGGGACCTACCGGTTCATGTCTGTGTGAACACATTCGTCTAGATCTGTGTTTTATTGTAATGAGCAGTGTCTCCTAGTATAGCATATATAAGAAGTGTACCTAAGGTCAGTTATTTAAACTGTTATGTAATTTCCATTACAAAAGTATAAATGATATTACCTATTGGTCAGAAAGACTTATCAGTACCCCAACACCGACCACCGCCACCACCCCACCCTAGGCCTACCCCATGCCACACCCTCTCTCCTCACACACACACACACACTCCCTAACATACATATCGCTTTGGCCCATAGGCCCGATATTTGAACCTTTTAAACAGACACCATGTGTATGTCAAGAAAGACACGTACGTTATTAATGGTGCTCGGTCATGGGTATCACTTCACCATGTGTTACTAATTATCTCAGTACATTATGGCGTGGTCGGACGCGCTAACGAACCCCTATGTGACAGTTACATTACAGCACCATTGAAATACATGTTAAAGTAGTGCTAATCTTGTAACACTATACTTACTCATTTCCAACCATTTACGCATGTACAAAATATATGACAAACCTAACCCTGGTCATACAAGATTTCAAGGGTATTGAAATGCATGTCCCACAATCACAGCATTTACATATGTTACACATGTTAGGAAACACATGGAAACAATGGCCAGATTTACACACCTGTGAAATACATGTAAATGCAGAGTCGAATGTTCGTTTATTTTAACACCCTTTTAAACGTGTGTAAATCTGACGGCCAGATGATACGTAGATTTCAAACGTTGTTCATATGGCCGCCGGATGAAACGAGTATTTCCTGACGTTAGTAAATTTGGGTAATACAGTCATTTTGTGTGTTCGTGTTAGCACTTACACTAACACTGACTCTCACACTAACACTAACACTCACACTCACATACTCACACTAACACTCACACCCCTGCTACCACTAACACTCACACTCACACTCACACTAACACTTACACTCACACTAACACTAACATTAACACTACCACGAACACTAACACTTACACTCACACTCACACTTACACTAACACTAAGACTAACATTTTACACTATTACTAACACTAACACGTACACTTACACTAACACTGACATTAACACTCACACTTACACTCACACTAACACTAACACTAACACTAACACTAACACTCACACTAACATTAACATTAACACTAACACTAAACACTCATACTAACACTGACACTAGCACTCACACTAACACTCACACTCTCACACTAACACTTACACTCACACTAACAATAACAATAACACTTCCACTTACACTATCATTAACCCTAACACTTACACTAACACTTACACTAACACTCACACTCATACATGCGCGTGCAGAGAGAGAATGGGCATTCATGATTAAGAACACATACTTGTTACAATATCACGACATTTTACATAACATTGTATTTCCCGTTTTAAAATCATTAGATTTGTGTCAAAATGTTTCCACAACCTGTTAAATATATTTTGAGATATGCCCTGGCTTGTAACAATGCGTTATGTACGGTGTTATAGCCTTGAATATCTTGTGTCCTGATGTCTGAACATGAGAAATATATATGTTTGAAGAGATAAGTACTTCACGCAGAACTCGAGCACCTACCACCAGTATTCTGCAGACGACAGTTAGCAGTCATGTCGCATCGTCATCCAACCCAACAGAAGCCGCAACAGAATACACAACAGAGAGAACAGATAAGGAGTCGCCATCCAGAAACACCCTGGTTCCTCTGATTGGTGGAGCTGCTGGCGGCGGGATCGTCTTATTGGTTCTCGTCATCACTGGATGTGCTCTTTACAGATGGAAGAGTGGGATGAACCATCCTGATGGTAAAATGTAGTGATGACTTTGTTTCTACCTATGCCTATCATGTCTCTAGGCCAACAAGTAAATTTAATAAATAATTGTTTCAAAATGTCAAAATTTCATTTTCATCGGATCATGATTGATCTTTAGTAAATCGCCCTGTCACGTTCAAGCATTATATAACGAAGACATATATTGCATATGATGCAGTTTAATCATGTAGGATCAATGAACTGACGATTTGCATTTACACATAGTAATTCAGTCCTCTCGTCTATTTCTTGCAGACGGACAAGCGGCGACATATCCCAACAGGTCAGTAAAGCAAATATATATATGAATGTTCCAGTTTCTAAAAATGTAGATATATTCTGTGTATTGTTTTCATTCTCTACTTTAACGAAGGTGAAGCTTTTGTGCCCCTTTACCGGTAGATTACAAATTGCGTATTTGTGTGCGTGTGCCTGTATTTCGATATCACCGCTACAAACTTGTCCTGTCCCTTATACCATCTATAGACTGTAGCGATCCACATATTATGTCTGTGATACCTTCTTTTCAGCGCCGTTGAGCAAATACGTTTTGAAACTGGCGCTATATAAATTCATTATCTTTATAGTCATGTTAACTCTTGTCTGCTTATATTCATAGTTTTTTTAGCATGATACGGTGTCCATCATGTTTCTATATTTCCAGACAACCAGAAATGCTGTGGCAGCTGGTAAGTACGACCTGTATGCAATGAATCTAATGTCACGTTCCTTTAGCAGCCCCCAAATATCAAATAAAAAAATAGAACTACGATTAAGCCATAGAGGATGATTACCAGCGTCACTTGACAACATACTGTTCAGTTCAGTGTCTGTCAATTGGGTGTCTGTCAAATGGGAGATAACCGTCAGACGTTCCAAAGTTTGCTCCACGGCAGTCTATGTTCGTGTATTATACCCGGCGACATTAAGACAAGTGAGGAAGGAAATTATTAACTGTTGAAGTTTTCTATATCATAACATATTTCAGAAATGAAGCCATTCAGAAACTTTAGTAGACAATGTAAGCCATGTCATTGCAGTAACTCAGGAAAAGAAACATAAGTTCTCCGTTTCATCAGTTCCATGATCGAATGGCCAGGATATTTGGAAAGTAAGGACGTTTTCTTTAATATTCATAATCTCGTCTATGAATCATTCTTTACTATATTTCTTTCTTTACGTGATGGAACAATTGGTAAATATTGCTTTACGCCGCTTCAGCAATTTTCCAAGTATGTCCAGCCTCTAATGGAGAGTTTAATATAAACACAAAGTTTATGTTTCTCCCCATTCCTCCACAACACCAAGTCTTACCATCAGCTCTTGTTACAGTGATGGAAGAAAATCCCATGTACAGCAGCAGTGGCCCGGGAAATGATGACTACGCACAGATAGACTGTCGGGAATCTGCATCTCCATCTCAGGGTTGGTCTGGTTTTTTACATCTGACAACGTGAGCGTGTCAATAAAAATGTATGCCAACATGTTTCATGAATGAAACCTGTGAAGGTCCGGGTTCGAATATTGATCTTCATTAACACATGCTTGCCGTAAGAGGTGACTAACGGGATCAGGTGGTCAGTTCGCTGACTTGGTTGACACATGTCATCGGTTCCCAATTGCGCAGATCGATACTCATGCTGTTGGATCACTGGATTGTTTGGTCCAGGCTCGATTATTTACAGACCGCCGCCATATAGCTGATATATTGCTGAGTGCGGCGTAAAACTAAACTCACTCACTCATGAATGAGAGGACATGTGGACACCATAACAATATGTACAAAGAACTCGGGGCAATTTGAAGATGCCCAAATCCACACTCGGGTAATCAAACAACTGATCAGTAAATGTTCACCTTATGTGAGCCGGTTTTAGGGAGCTTCTGTGCAACTACATGTATTACTGGGTTCACCTTGTTTGATTCATTATGTAAGTTCATAGTCCCTGTATCAGTTGCTGATGATGTTGTTATTGCATCTGAATACAGAGAAGGGAGAAACCAGTATGGTGAAGACTCAGCCTAACCCCGATGACTGTCAAGCTGGTCCGGACATTGGATATATCTATGCCGTACCTGACAAATCCAAGAAGTCTGCAGCAGAGGGTACGTTTCTTGTTTTGCGAGCACTAAGTCTGTGCTCATGGGTTTATTTTATCTGCCTTATCCTGGCATTCCTCCAAAATGGTCTGACTAAAGTAAGTCTTGACACAAGCCTCCATCTATTTGTAGTTTATGTCCACATGAATAGGAACATCTAAGTCAACACTAGACATCTGTGTCAGCCTCAGTATGGGAGACGTTTTCACATTTATTACGAAAGTGCTGATGTACATCCACTATGGGTTGCTACACAGTGTTAAACCTAGTTCACATTGCCAATCAAAGAACCTTTACATCTAGGTCACATTGTGTCATTTCTATGTTGAGATCCCGGGTGAGAAGAAGCATCACCCTGGGTACATATATAGAGATAAGTTTAAAGTCTTTGTATCATTTTGCTGATGATGTTGTTAAGCATATTGTGTCATACCAGATTCTCTATGCCACTGAAGGAAGTCTTAATATATCTGACTACAGAGAAGGGAGAAGCCAGCGAGGTGAAGAATCAACCTAACTTCGATGACAGAAACCTGAATCAGCCTGGACTGGAAGGTGGAGATACCTATGCCGTACCTGACAAATCCAAGAAGTCAGCAGCCGAGGGTATGTGTGGTGTATGTACAACATGTGGTGTATAAAGAGTACATGGTGTATGTAGAGCACGCGGTGTATGTAGAGCACACGGTGTATGTAGAGCACGCGGTGTATGTAGAGCACGCGGTGTATGTAGAGGACACGGTGTATGTAGAGCACGCGGTGTATGTAGAGCACCCGGTGTATGTAGAGTATGTGGTGTATGTAGCGCATGAGCTGTATTTGGAGTTGTGGTATTTCAGGTCTGATGAGACTCATGTTTTGTTCCAGATGTGGAGGATGTGTCTAGTCAAGTGCAGAAGCCGAAAAAGTGATTCAAGTAAACTTAGAAGCTCACGTTGAAGTAGTTTTGTCCCTGTGTTGATACTTTAAAAACCTCCGTAACATAAACCAGGTCCTGGATGTTAAGGATGTTCATTATCACATGGGCTATGTCAGTAGATAGAGTTGTCTGGGATTGCTGCATTTATATGCTTACTACGTTAACTTTTAATTACGAGTTTGTATAATGTATATCAGCGCCTCAATTGCAAACGCAGTCGTGTGTAAGAAATGACAGCAGTTGACCCAAAACAAACTGTTGATGCATTTGATATCATGTGACTATTTCACAAGAAGAAAGCTTCTATTCTGCAAATCGGTTAGCAAGTGTCCAAAAGACTAACTTCACAATAAGTAGTACATCTGCTGTTTCTTTTAATAAGTGTTAGCGATGGTACGAACGGAAGATTAAAGTCGTATGCGGAACATTTTGGAATGGCTTTAATTAATACAACATCCACTCAATGATGCAGATCTTTGTAATGATCGGTCCATGCAAGATAGTCGGTGCAGGCGATATTCGACACAAGATTGCTGTCTACAGTATTTTCTAGGAGTAGATGTCCTCCCCTACAGATTTTTCGACCCGCAGGCCCATTTGTTGGAAAGTCGTTTCGGTTGCCATCTTCTGCTATATGTAGTGCTATACATTGGAACTACCAAATCTCTAATTGGAAAGTTTCGACTATTGTTGCGGGGAAAAATGCAAAGAGGTAGTACCAATCTAGTAGTCCTGACCATTTTGTGCTCTCGATAAGTGAGCGTATTTCCATGGCACTCACTGACAGTAAGATCTCAGAGGAAGAATTTCGTTCAATCCTCTCTGAACTCGACAAGTACCGTAAGATGAAAACAAGAAATCCGGTCAAAGTCTCGTAAGTCTGCTATCAGCGAAGACGAGAAAAAACCGGACATTGAACAGGGGGTGCGAAAAGCCCAGCAAGCCTTTATTTCGAACACCAAAGAGATCATATGCGATTCACCTTAAACTGTTTCCTCGAGGTCAACACGACATAGAGCCGCGTGATCAGGATCGCGGCCATAGCGGCGCTTATTGTGTCACGTGTGGCCGGGAAGTTAACTGGGGATTCAAAAGTAGTATATACGATGGTGGCGAGATCTAAGGGCCTGACAAAGCTTAATTAATGAAATAAAGCTTTACAGAGGCTTATGTTGGACTTGATCTCGGACTATCATTGTATATAGTACTCCTTTAACATACATAGTTCCTTTTTATTTCACAAATTACCTTCGTTTTGGGGGTTTGTTCTTATATTATTTTATTGCTGATTTGATCCTGGGGACCTGTTTTCGTTATGTTTAAATGAATCGTAAATATCATGTCCTTTTTAAGCCTCGTGCATGTTAATCTGTTGATTTGAACCTTTTGTTACTATACTGTTACACAAGTCGATTATGCTCCCGAAATATACGTCCAAAACATTTAGTGTCTAGCTATAGCCGTGTAAGAAAGTAATACAGTGCGGAACACGGTTCGACCAAGTAGTAAAGCAGGGCCATAGGGGTAAGAGAGAAATTCAAAGTTTACCCTATTTTCACAGCAGTTATTCCAGCATTCCTTCACTGGACTAGGCGTACTGAGTATAAGCATCCCTTGTGTGTAAGTTGGATCATGAGTCTCATTATCATGTCACAAAAAGTGTTTAATGGATGACAGATCAGGGTGCTGTTGTATAAAACAACCTTAGCGCTAACACTACCTTAAGTCTATGTTGAGGTATGGTCACCTTAACGCTAACACTACCTTAAAGTCTATGTTGAGGTATGGTCACCTTAGCGCTAACACTACCTTAAGTCTATGTTGAGGTATATGGTCACCTTAACGCTAAAACTACCTTAAGTCTATGTTGAGGTATGGTCACCTTAACGCTAACACTACCTTAAGTCTATGTTGTGGTATGGTCACCTTAACGCTAACACTACCTTAAGTCTCTGTTGTGGTATGGTCACCTTAGCGCTAACACTACCTTAAGTCTATGTTGTGGTATGGTCACCTTAGCGCTAACACTACCTTAAGTCTATGTTGAGGTATGGTCACCTTAACGCTAACACTACCTTAAGTCTATGTTGTGGTATGGTCACCTTAACGCTAACACTACCTTAAGTCTCTGTTGAGGTATGGTCACCTTAACGCTAACACTACCTTAAGTCTATGTTGTGGTATGGTCACCTTAGCGTTAACACTACCTTAAGTCTATGTTGAGGTATGGTCACCTTGGCGCTAACACTACCTTAAGTCTATGTTAAGGTATGGTCACCTTAACGCTAACACTACCTTAAGTCTCTGTTGAGGTATGGTCACCTTAACGCTAACACTACCTTAAGTCTATGTTGTGGTATGGTCACCTTAGCGCTTACACTACCTTAAGTCTATGTTGAGGTATGGTCACCTTAACGCTAACACTACCTTAAGTCTATGTTGAGGTATGGTCACCTTAACGCTAACACTACCTTAAGTCTATGTTAAGGTAAGGTCACCTTAACGCTAACACTACCTTAAGTCTCTGTTGAGGTATGGTCACCTTTAACGCTAACACTACCTTAAGTCTATGTTGTGGTATGGTCACCTTAACGCTAACACTACCTTAAGTCTATGTTGAGGTATGGTCACCTTAACGCTAACACTACCTTAAGTCTCTGTTGAGGTATGGTCACCTTAGCGCTAACACTACCTTAAGTCTCTGTTGAGGTATGGTCACCTTAACGCTAACACTACCTTAAGTCTCTGTTAAGGTATGGTCACCTAACGCTAACACTACCTTAAGTCTATGTTGAGGTATGGTCACCTTAACGCTAACACTACCTTAAGTCTATGTTGAGGTATGGTCACTTTAACGCTAACACTACCTTAAGTCTCTATTGAGGTATGGTCACCTTGCGCTAACACTACCTTAAGTCTATGTTAAGGTAAGGTCACCTTAACGCTAACACTACCTTAAGTCTATGTTGAGGTATGGTCACCTTAGCGCTAACACTACCTTAAGTCTATGTTAAGGTATGGTCACCTTAACGCTAACACTACCTTAAGTCTCTGTTGAGGTATGGTCACCTTAACGCTAACACTACCTTAAGTCTATGTTGAGGTATGGTCACCTTAACGCTAACACTACCTTAAGTCTCTGTTGAGGTATGGTCACCTTAGCGCTAACACTACCTTAAGTCTCTGTTGAGGTATGGTCACCTTAGCGCTAAGATCGCTTTGTACAACGGCACCCAGAACTCATGCTATGGCATTCTGTGTGCCTTGTGCTGCTAGCTGGAGGTGAACATTGCCCATTAGTGGATTATGAGTACGGGAGTATTTGTCTTGAACTACAAACTTCGATTCACACGCCTTAAGAAACTGACAACAACTGATGGCGCAATGTTTTCCCTTTGGTACACTCTGGTAACACCTCCTTTCATTGTATGGTTTGGTTTGGTTTGGATCTTGTCGAACGTCGCACTCAGCAATGTTCCAGTTGTATGGTGGCGGTCTGTATATGATCGACCAGACAATCCAGTGATCAATAGCATGAGCATCGATCTACGCAATTGAAATTCGATGACATTTGTCAACCAAGTCCGCGTGCTTAACTAACCTGATCCCATTAGTCGCCTCTGACAGGCGTGGGTTGCTGACCAGTTCTAACACGGATCTTCACGGGTTTTACAAAATGGAGTTGGGTAGACGACAATAGTTTAGAAGTAAAACCTAAAGATAACCCGAGGTGGCGAGCAATAAGAAGACGCTTTTGTATGTTATTCTCTGATTTTATCATGGCGCCTTGAGCATGCGTGGATGCTGGTGCATTATAAGTGTTTAATATTATTTTGTATGTGTATATCTTTGTCACGTGTGTGTGTGTTGATACAAGTTAGTCCTGGTTACGTTAAAACATTGTAATTAGATATGGAGCTGTAACTTTCGTTTTGTCGTTATCTTAGTATGCCACCATATAGTTTTCAGAGCCTTTCGCCATTTTGTATAAATCCGAGAGGATTACCCTTTGCTTATTTACACGTTCCTAGTTGTCAACAATGCGTTTTGTGGTATTTTTTAAATTAATTTTTTGTCGTTATCATGGTATTCCATCATAAAGTTTTCACTATTTTGTTTACATCCGATAGGATTACTTTTGCTTATTTTAACGTTCCTAAATGTCAACAATGCGTTTTGTGGTATTTTAAAAACGTTTTTTATTTTTGTCGTTATCGTGGTATTCCATCATGAAGTTTTCACTATTTTGTATAAATCCGATTACCTTTGCTTATTTTCACGTTCCTAATTGTCAGCCATGCCTTTTGTTATGCATTGTTTTGCATTTGAGATCAATAAAACATTTTAATATAATGTCGTTATTGCTGACTATTATTGCTCTTCTTGTAACCACACTAGACCCGTCGGGTGGTCAGATGCGGCAGTCGATTATCCAGAATAATAGTCTAAAATGCAAAAATGGGTTTCGGAATTCAGAGCGGATATGATTCAGTTCTATTGCTCAACGACGAACATGCAAAACAATTTAACACATACATTCTTATATATACCATACATAAACCTTTTGATACATCAAGGTACAGTCTGTGTACAAGAAAAACGATATTGCAAAGGTGAATGAACTTCAGGTGTACACAATCTTAGACTAGCTGATCAGACCTTGACGGCCTGGCTCGCAGTCAGTGCTTACAACCATACGCCCAGATTACATTTTCCGAAGAAGGTCCTCGTACAGCTGTAGTGATCAGTAGGGACCGTTCATTATTGATGGATGATTTTAATGGGGTCACCCATTTTGTTCTTGGAAGGGAAGGTGTTCGTGTGGGGGTGGAGGGGTGGGGGTGGGTTGTGGGGTTAGTACTCATATATTAGGGGAGGCCGCGATTTTTACATTACAACAAAGGGGTCATTGTTTTGTACAGGACATGCAGGGGGGGGGGTGGAGGGTCGCTTACTTTGTACATACATTTTAGGTGAGGTGAGGTGAAATTGAGTTTTACGTCGTGCTTGAGAATATTTCGCTCATATGACGAGGTGCATGCGTGTGTATGTGTAAGTGCGGCTGCTTGTACTAGCCCAGACTGAAGCTGGTTTTATAGTGCTAGCCCACTGAGATACCATGCCGCAGTGAAGCATGAATACCCCACTCAGACACAGTATACTGACTCCGAGCCGACCAGTCCTTGTTGTACCCATTAATGCCGAGCGCGAGGCAGGGACCAACAAGTACCATATTTTATCGTCTTTGGTATGACGCGGTCGGAGATCAAACCCGCGACCTTCCGCTCTCTGGGCGGACGCTCTAACCACTACATCACGGAGGCGGTCCACATACATTTTAGGGGGTCATTCACATAGTACATGCTTCTCCATAAAAATCATCATCACCCGCTCTAGTCATAAAAATTATGAACGGTCCCTTAACCCCCTCAACCCAAAGGTCTCACTTGCTGTTCTGATTTATTCAGGTCATTTACAACATATTTCCGTAATATCCCCATAGTGAATGTGTCACAACAGACTGACACTTACACCGGAAGGGTGATGTAATGTTCACAAGAGGTCACGTGGTCTCCCAGAATGGTCCTTAAGGGAAGGATGCTGGTGACGTGAACTCATTCGATGATGAAGATGCACTGTACGACAGTCACATATACACACGTATTCCCACACCATGGGACTTGACAAACACCGAGCTCTGTGGTATGGGCTGGCTATGTCGCTGTACACATATGGCTTGACAGGAGCACAGCAGGGTCGGTATCAAACTTCATTCGTTTCACTTATAAGAGATATGTAGTTTCTAAATGTTTAGACCATATGCGTAATCCGTTCAACGTTATAGCGATATTTACTGGTTGTAACCCGCGAACTTCTGCTCTCCGGGCAGACGCTCCAACCATCACACCACGGAGGCGGTTTAGAAGGAAGGGAATGATTACAGTAACCGTTATCTTGTATTCAGCATTGGCATGGAATTTGATCATTTCAGTTCTTTTATTTGTGCTGATAGGGTTGCTGATAGAGAGAAAAGAACATAGCACAGAGTGAGAGGGGTGGGTGGTGGTGGTGGTAAAGAAATCCCAGATGACACCCTATTTTGCACTATTATACCTGAATAATCACACCTGTCCAAGTTATGTTGTTTGTTTCTCAGCCCCCAGCAATATTCCATCTATATGAAGGCGATATAATAATGTATATAATCGAGACTTGACCAGACAATCAGGTGGTCAATAGTAAGCAACTGTCTGGTAGGTGGAGCTGCGATGACAAGCAATCAACCAAGTTTAAATAATACTATATTGAGACGACGTATGCCATCCGGATCTTACCACGCTGTCTTGATGTTACAGTCAGTGAGCTAGGTGTAGGCATCGTGACTTGATTATAAGTTATAACGGCTGTTGACAACGGTACATGTGCAGTACTGGACGGGAATTTTTTTTCTACCCTTCAGAAATCATCTTCGACGCGCATCAAAGAATAACAGTGTTTTCTCCACCCAGTAACGGTACAAATAGAACGGTAACATCAGGTCGGAATATAACTTTCGTGTGTCGCAGACCTGCTACAGAAAATAATGTCCGCATGTCGAATGGTACAGAAACAACCAGCGAGATAAAACGGCAGAGGTTCAGTACTTCAATGGCAGATGTGGACTGAAGATTCAGACATTACCACGCCTGTCTGTAGAACAAACGGATTGTGAAGATGGTCAATTCAAGCTGAGGATAAGAGAGGTCGATACCAGTTTTGAGGCTGATTGGTTCTGTATCGTCATTCGAGCACAAATATCGATATCAAAGCCAGTACATTGGGCTTCATGTTCAAAGCCTAGGTGAGTTTATTGCTACAATTGTATATAAACCGGATGTATCTGTAATCATAACACACATACATACACAGAGACATACACAGGCACACATACACACATATACACACATACACAAGACACAGACACACACATTCACACATACACTCACACACACACACACACACACACGCTCGCACACACACACACACACAGACACAGACAAACACACACTCGTACGATTTTTATTTCTTGAAGAAGTGACATTAGGAATATATTTTCCTCACCAAGATGTTCCAAACACATATTGTATATCTTATGTAATCTACTTCAGTTACTAAGATCAAACATCTACATAGACTGGGCAATTTACACAATAGGATGATACTGAATTATCTAGTCTTCATTGGTTCGTATTGTATTTCAGCATGTCATAATATACTAATGATACACAAGTAAGATATTGAAACTTTGAGGAATTCCTTGACAAAACATCTAGTTATCAAGATCAGATAATCGGCTGTAACTATCCACACAACAACACCTTGTGAATGTCATTCCATACGCCAATATTACATCTATCGAGATATCTGTAAAGCCCGAAACTAAATACATGTATAGTTGGTCGTTCCAAAAAACACCACAAATATTTTGAAATGTATTGACATATTATGAATGCGTTCACAACGCTTTTTCAGTGCGGATGCGTATATCAGTTCTGAAGCGTATTTTCAGGACTTGACTGTAATGAAAACAATTCAATTTCAAATTTAATATCAGAAGTTGTTCATTTACATTACTGCATATATTATTACTTTGCCGTTATTGTAATATCCTGTCTTCTTTCGATCCATTATATGAAAGCCTATAAGACGGCTGTGTGTCCCAATTCATGATTATGCGGCGGTTGGCGGTCTGGTGGAGACTTAGTAGTAGTTATGTATACTTCGTAAACATTCACGTGTGTAGCAATCGTCGGATTGATCATATTTCATCAATGTGGCTTTTAACAGAGCCACAGCCTTCTCCAAGTGCATATTTCATCTTACTTTGGGGTGTAATTTCAAGTATATATCTGATTAAAGCTTGAAACACCCTGTGTTGCAGAAATAACACCAAGTGATGAAGTACCCACAGCCTCAACTCAATTATTATTGCTGCTGTAGTTGTCAGCCTGGTTCTAATCGTCGTAGTTTGCCATCATCATCGTCTTCCGTTTCAAAAGAAAGGTAAATCGACTATAGCAGCAATCAGTATCGTTACCGTCCCAGTATGTATGTCACAGTTCGGGGTAGACCACAACACGTGTGTGTGACTATGCTAGAGAAGGAGAGGACGTAGTCACATGTTGTAAACAGATAACATTCACTGAGGAAGGATATATCCAAAATATCCAACGTGAACGTGTCACTTTGAGATATGAGACTAAGTTATCTGTGATCATACAAATGCTCATCTGTATTTGAACGATAACAACTCTTTAGAATTGTTTTGTAATTTCACGATGAATATATCACCTGGAACAAGACACACAACCTGCACTTGTAGTTGGTTACACTGAGTCATAGGCCAAGACCATAACCTACATATGTAGACACAACTGAATATAAATAAATTCTTTGAGAGGCATTTAGAAGTTGGCGTTGGAAGGAGATACAATATATTGATGAAGAACGTCTTTATTATAGTGACACCGACACTTTCGGAGTAGGTTCAAACAAATGGTATAAAATCACTTGCTTGATAGCGGTGGTAGAACTACACCAGAATGTCGCCCTCACTGTTCACCCATATATTGCTACCACCATTTAAATATGCATACGTTATCAACCCTCAGGAAGCTAAACTACATTTTGAATGAAATATGTTTCTATGTTTGTTTCTTGTTGGATATACAGGTATCTGAATCAACACTGCGCCACCCTCCTGACGGAACTATGCACCAGGCTGCGGACAATGTTGCAGTGGACTCAGAAGGATCTGCTTCTGGTAATGGCCAATATGCCCCTGCACTGCATGTACATCCTGTAATCATGTATGAGCACAGCAGGTAGTTCACAGAGATGAAGGGGTTCAATGTTCATTCGTCCTAGTACACCATTTTGCACTAGCTGTAGTATATTGTAGATGTTCATGACAGCAATCAGAGACTTGTTATGGTTTAGAATGTGCCAAATCACAATAGGTTTGTGAGTTCTCTTTATACCAGCAAAATGAAATACAGACAAGTCTAAAACATTCAATGATATATTGAATAAACAATGAGCAAGGTTACAAAGAATGACAGTACATATTTCTAATACAATGCTTGGAGTTACAAATCTAAAATATTTGGTCACAAATCTAAAATGTTAACTAAATGTCCATAGTTTTTGTTTTTGTTTTTTCAAAGTCAAAAGTCTTTTATTGTCTATAAGCCACAGGCCGTATACAACATATATACAATTTTCACATACATTTACACATGTATACAATAACAAAGGTTGAGTTTACAACACATATATATAATGTCATAGTACATGGGGAAATCCTACAAAAATATATATCTTACTGAATTGGGAGGTATTTTGATGCTCTAAGTTCATATGCTTGAAGTGTTTCGTTATTAGTAGTTTTGGGGTTGTTTTTTTTTTTTTTCCATCATAAGTTGTATATAATGTCATATCTGATATATCATAAGTATATAGTATTACATCCCATATGTCAAGTTGTAAATAGCATCATATATGAACATATCATATTGTTTATAGCACCACATCTGACATATCAAGCTGTATATTGTGTCACATCCAACATATCATGTTGTATATTGCATACACATTCAACATATTTTGTTGTATACGGCGCCACATCTGACATACCACGTTGTATATAGCGCCACATCTGACATATCATACTGTATATAGTGCAACACCCGACATAGCATATTGTAGTGTCACGGCCAATCTATCGTGTTGTACATCTATCGTGTTGTACATAGTGTATTATCTGATATACATTGTAAATATGTCTTATCTAACATGTGTTGTATATAGTGTCATGCTGTGTCTTATGTCACATCCAATGTGTTGTGTTATATATTTCCGCAACATCCGGCTTATTGTGTTGTATATTGTGTCTTATATCAACCTATAATATGTGTTCCCCAAAGTTACACCAGTGCCATTAACTAACTAGTCAATATATAACTAAAACAATGATAATTTTTCAAAGGGAAACAGATCAAGATTTTATAAAGAAGCCCGGTTTGCTGCATACACAGGTCAGGTTTGAATACTGGGAATAATGGATGCCATTTATTAGCAAATTTCTTCATTATATTCTTCCTTTTGGCAATGAAGCTTTCAACAGAAAAATATCTTTTAAAGTCTTTATAAAGTTATCGCATTTTGGAATATTGTTTTCCAAGAAGAGACGTAGATCTGTCTTTTGCTGAAATGATTATATGATTAAGTAATGGGTTTTACTTAAGGAGCCAAAATACACCAAATATTTTGTCAAATTGACTTTTTGTATCAAATAAGTGTTAATCCAAATTTGAAGATCCTTCCAAAACTTCTTAGTTTCACTACATTCCCAGTAAACATGGCACAAGTTTTTCATCTGCATCTTTACAAAAGCTGCATGAGGCGCTCTGGATAAGGTTCATTTTTTAAAGTTCCTTTTTGGTATAGATAATACCGTGTAAAATTTATATTGGAACTCTAAGAGTTTTACATCATTAATGTCTTGTCTGTAAGACTTGAAAATCATTGGCCAATCAAAGTGAGTATCTTCAAACACATTCTCCCATTTATGACACATATGAGGGTTATTATTGTTAAATAACAATATATCATAAAATAATCTTGATCCTTGCAATGATTTCATAAAATTATTTTTGATAGGTGTTAAGATTCATGTCATAGTTATTTATACACCTGTGATTTGTTATTGTATTTTCCATGATTCAGGTATATTATTTAGAACATATCTATGATCTAATTCTGTCCCTTTTATTGCATAATTACTTTTTAAAGATTCAAAGACATCAAACCTTCGTCATCACACATGTCTCTGATGGTTAATAGTCCTTTATTTGCCCAATGACTGATATAATGATTTTGGTATTTAAAATTATGATTAAACCATAATGGCTGTGCTAAAATTTCATCAATGTTGTTTTCCTCTATGGTAATGTTAGTACAATACATGTTCCATGCTTTTAAAACATCTTTCCAATATGGATTATGAATATCAGCAATATTATAGAAGTTAGCACCAAATTTCATGATATCATGTAAGGGAAAATTGCATGGATTACATATTGATGATTTTCTTAAATAAAGTCTCAAAGTGGATAGTTTCAAGGCATTGATAAAGGTTTTATGTCGATCATTCTTAAACCCCCATGTATATAATCTTTTTCAAAGGTACTTCTCTTAATTTTGTCAGTTTTGTCAGTCCATATGAATTTGAAAAAATATTTTATCAAGGGAGGTAACAAAATCTTAGGGTGGGTTTGGTAAAGTATTGAAAATATGAACTAATTTTGACATAGCTAGTGTCTTGATAACAGTGATTTTGCCGATTAATGTTAAATGTCTTTTTTTTTCTCCACACTGCCAATAATCTGTTAATTTCCTCTAGTCTTTTCTTTGTATTGATGATCCATAGATCCTTCAGTTCAGCATTAAGTATAATTCCCAGAACAACAAATTCATTTTTCGCCATTCAATATTCAAATCCTGACATAGTTTATCACCACTACCTGCTTTAGATCCAATCAGATAGCTTTAGTCTTATCAATATTTATTTTTTAGTCCTGACATCCTGTAGAAAGTATGAATTGCATCAACAGCAGAATATAGACATTTTTCTGTACCATCTAAAAACAACTCAATTATCATCTGCATATTGTCCTAATTTATACTCTGTATCATCAATTACTATACCTTTGATATTTTCATTTTGTCTTATCATGCATCCAAGGATTTCAGCTACAAAAAGGAAAGATATGGTGATAACGGATCCCCTTGTCTACAGCCCCGTTCATTTGAAAAGAATTCTGAGAGATGTCCATTTTGAATAACACAAGAAGTTGTATTATAGGTTAGGATATTTATCCACCTAATAATTTGGGGACCAAAACCAAACATTTCTAATACAAATTTATAAAATCTTTAGAGACAGTATCAAAAGCCTTTTCAAAATCGATCAAAATTAATAAACCTGGGATGTCTCTTCTTTTGTCTCTCAAACATAATGTCATAGAGTAGTCTTGTGTTTTTCGCTTATATTTCTACCAGGTATAAAACCAGTCTGATTTTCATGTATAAGAGAGTACAGGGTTGTTTTTAACCGATTAGAAATACAAGTACCTACTATTTTATACAGTGAATTCAATAAAAGTTATTGGTCTCCAGTTTTTAAAGGGTTCTGTTTTTATCTGGCTTGGGTATACATGTAATAACACCTCTTTTTCATTGTGAAAGACATTTGATTCTTATTAAAATTTCTTTAATAAATCTATAGATCCAATATTTAAGGTCTTTCCAAAATATTTAAAGAAATCTATTGGAAATCCATCTACACCTGGGCTTTTGTTATTTTTCATATGTTTAACAGCCAATGTTATTTCTTCCATGTCAATATCTTTTTCTAATTTGTTTCTAAGATGGCCAGTTAAAGTGGGAGTTGCCACATCTTGTAAACAAGTTTCATCCTCATATTTCCTGCCAGAAGAGTAAAGTTGTTTTGTAAAATGTTTTTTACTTCATTTAAGATAGAAAAGCTGTCCAGTAATTTCGTCATTGTTATCCGTGACAATCTTATTTATTGCTTTGCTGACATAATTTCTATTTTCTAGGTTACAAAAATACTTGGTTGGCTTTTCCCCTCTTCATACAATAAAATTCTGTTTCTGAGCTGTATACCCCTTATTTCATCGTCTTTAATTTGTTGTAGTTCAAATTGATATTTTGCAAGTTCAGATAATAAATTTTCATCTATAGTTTGAAAGTCCTTTCTTATTGATTCTTCATAGTCTTTAATTTTAGTTTCTAATTCTGTGGTTTTATCAATGGTTTTCCTTTTTAGAAAGGTTGAAAATGAAATTGATTTTCCCCCTAACATTCATAAGGAAGGTTTCTAAAAATAAACTATCATCAATCTTAAGTTTTATATTAAGGTCATTAGCATTTTCATCATATACATCAATATCTGAATATTCTTCAACTGTGTCCTTTAATATGGATCTAACAAGTTCACTATATTCAGGTTGTAACAATAAAGACGTATTAAATTTCCAATATCCCCGCCCTCTTTCTTGGTTAATAGTATTTGAAAAGAGTAGGTAATAGCTGAGTGGTCCGTTTTATAGCCAAATATCCACAAGATCATAAGCTGCAATTGTGTCTAAAACTACTTTTCTGGCCTTGGGATTGTTGATATTTTTGTAATTTTCTAAATCAATGGAAGGATCAAGAACCAGATTCCAATCTCCTACCATAACCAGAGATTCATTCTCAAAATTGGATATACTTTCGAAAAGCTTTACATAAAATAGTGGGTCATCAATATTTGGTCCATAAAGGTTTGTGACGGGTAAATCTTTTATCTTCTACAGTTATGTCTGCAATAATAAAATTTCCACCTTCATCTTCCAGAGTTTTATGTATAGTATGATCAATATTATTATTGAAAAGTATTGCAACACCTCTTGAATTGGACTTGAAAGGTGCAATTATACTCTGCAATCCCCATTCATTTTTCATTTTATTCACATCTTCTTTGGCTATATGGATATCTTGTAAGCAAATTATTGAGTATGATTTCTTTCTATAGAGATTCATAACTTCTTTCCTTTTATTTTTATTTGCCAGACCCCTACAGTTAGCAGAAATAGTCCTTATTTTTTTTATATTATCCATCTGATAACCATGCTAAAATCAAAGTATTTTTAAGTATTGAGATATAATTGAAATCTCTAGGATTACGTTTGAGTTTTGTAACATGATATATGCATATATTCTGTATTTCAAGACATGTTAGATCATTTGATGTAAATTGTTGAGAAACAATGTCTTAATATTTGGAAGACTACTAAAAATATGATGTAGTAAACATAAGCACTGAGAGCTGTTGAAAAGGAAGATCTGAAAAAGAAGCTGTACTTGATTCTAGAAAAAAGATGATATAAAAAGAAACTATGTACAAACATAAAAACAAAGAAAGAGGCATTTGTGCTATATCCTCTCAACCCGTGAACGTGAATATAGTCTGAACTGCATCGAATGTGTCTGCCAAACACGACATAAACATAACCTTGACCTTAAAGGTCGAGGTCGGAATTAACATATCACTTAAATCAGTTCGGTTTACCTAAAGTCTACTGGAACTTACGTAAGTTTGATTTAATAACAAATGCAAAAGTTATAAATCCTCTAACAAAGGATCAAATGGTTATTCGTGACATAGTCATGTATAAACTGTATAACCTATCATCTTAAAACAGAAAATGTAACATAACTCACGTGTGAAACTGTAAACAAGATTCAACTTCCGGTCTAGTAGTTCCGAAGTGAATAACATTACTAAAAATAGAAAAGCACGTGGTAATGTTTATAAAACAAAGACTTACGAGAGTTCAGTTGTTCATAAATGGTAGTTTTACTACTGATCTGAGTACTTACTTACTCATAGACACATTTGAGCAGAGTCTTAGAAATGTCCAATAAAGTGTGTGATCCGTCCAAACAGTGTTGCACAAATTTGAAGAGAGAAAAGGTAAACAAAAACGTCGTAGTTAGCTCCATGCATTTTGATGTTGTGGTGTTCGTATTACGGTGTTTGATCAACGTCGATTGTTCTCCATTCGTCTCGTGAACTTTTTCTGGTTTGAAGGCTGATGTCTATTCCTCTCTCCAGAATTCGAGTTTGCACATTGTATTTTTTTCTGAGCTCAAACGCTCGGTTAGCCAGGCGACCTCTTTGTTTCTTCAGGGGCACTGGGAGGTCAGGGCGGACTGTAACTTTCTTCTGGCTGGATCGGTACTTTTTCGGGGAAGTCTATGCACATTTACAAACTGTATCTCACTCGCATCCTTGAGGCCTAATAATGTAATTACCTCCCTCACTGCAGGCGCTGGCTCTTTATCTTCTGGTACTCCATAGATAAGAAGATTGTTTTTCCTTGAATACAACTCTTGGATTAGAAAACGTTTTTCAAAATCATTCTTCATCTCGTTCATCTCTGTTTTGAGTCGGTCTATCTCACTTGAGTTGATCTGGATTTGTTCGGCGTTATACTGAACAGATTCGAGGATACTGGAGGTCTCATTATGGAGTTCCTTTATTTCTGTATTCATGGTGTCCATTTTACTCATAAGTTGAGCTGTTTGGTCCTGAAGAGCCGAGGCTATGAACTGCTTGAGGTCGGACTTGTCCACGTAGTCAGTAATGGCGGTCTGCCTCGCTGACGTGTTCGTAGTTGTGGGCGATACCTGTGGCACTGTACGAGCTTCGGTGTAATAATATTTCGTCTGATTTATCTCCGGTAGTGTTCGTGGGTTGTTCATTGATAGTCTTACCCCGATTACTTCTTCTGGAGTTGGACATATTTGTTAAATTTTGGGTTGAGAAATGTCCATTAGTTACCCCAAAATGTCTTTTTCTTTTTTTCTTGTCGATGTTTTGATCGGAGATTGTTCACGGCAGTTGAGATGAGGTGAGCGGACGATGTTAGCAGACAGTTGAGCAGTCATCAAATTCGTGTCGAACATATCCTTATATACCTATCACACAGTTCTCGAGACTTCTAGAAGTATTATTATAGTGGATTATTATTATTACGCCTCACTAGGGCCATTTAGATCACACTACGGTCATGTAGAATTCAGTCGAATGAATGCCAGTCTTACACCGGAAGCAGCATACCGGGAGCATAACAAAGAGGAAGTAACTCCCGAGCGCAGCTCTTCGGTCGACTCTCAACTGGCGGACTTACATAGCCTAAATATAAACAAGATATTAGTTCAAATCACAGTCAGCGGTTTAAACTTTTGTGACCCATAATAAGTTAATCAATGTGTTATTTGAATAACAAAAACACACTCCATAACAGACTCTACAGGGGACAGTCATGTAGCATGCACATCCTTTCTTAGTCCCGAGTCTGTGTACTTATATATTAGATTTCGATAACCAGATTCTGCTAATTCCTTGTAACTGTTTCAGGTGGTGATTACCTACACCCTGACGCTAGAGGAGAATATATGGGTCTTGATAGAAATGCTGTCCAGCCTTCGAACATATACGAACACCTGACAACATACGAACAGATTTCAAATGTGTGAAGTGTTGGAAGTTCACAAAGAAACTATATAATGCACTTTGTCTTTACATGTGTGTAAATCCTCACCTTTGTATGGAATACATTACAATAATTTTGAAAATAAACAAACCAAGCAGATATAACACCATATTGCGTAATATTCAAAATAATGTAAAACAAAGAATATGATTTATTGATCCGTAACATGCACACTCATACAATTAGCAGTACACTACGATTATAACCACTACATATAGTGTGTAGTATATTTTGTAGTTCTTGACCAGACACTCCAGTGATTAACAACATGAGCATCGATCTACTACAACTACAACAACAACAACTACTACTACTACTACTACTACTACTAACTACTGTAACGGGATGGCTCTTTCACAACGACACAACTCCGTTGAGGCTGCAAGTTCCTTGTTTATTACTGTAGTTTGTATAAATAATACAAGTCTGAAACAATGTATATGAATATATAACACTCCATCAAAATACCTATTTTATCACATTCATTTCACTGCACATTGTTCAGATAATTAACAATCACAGCACTACCACTGAACATATAAAAAGAACTCAAAACAAATTGACATCACAAAATCAATGGTTCAGTTTCATATTAAGATCCTTAGGAATTATGGAACACATTTGGCATCTTCAAAACAACAATGAAACATCAACGTGTCTTACCATCTATGGGACAACTTGTTTCAAACTGGCCACATGCTGTGAGGCACCAACAAAACACCAAGGACCTAAAATATGTATGTTTTAAATAGCATGGAAATGCTAATTCTCACCAGTAAAGTAAAGGTACAATCTGTTTGGACTCAAACATTAATCTGAATCAATTGTAAGTGAAATTATTGACACCAACAATTTCTAACCATAGGTCAAAATATACCTCCACCAAAATGCATAAATTCAGTTACAATAAATACTGAATTTACCTTTCAACAATTAAACATATTTTTGTGAGTTTATTCCTTTTATATAAAACCAAGTGTAACTAACCTGTAATTCACCAAAGTCAAAATCCTCCATCCATGACTTTCAAACCACCTTGCCAGGTTGGGAGAAAGACAGCAAGTGAACAAACTTCACGCTTTCCAAATGCAACTAGCTTCAACATCCAATCAAGATGCTGCACATCTTCAGCCAATAAAACCAAGGACAAGACAGCAGACCTGACCTCATTAAGACTTGGCTAATTTGCATAGGAACTACTTTCAACCCATGACCCAGTAGTGACTATAAATAAATCATGGACTTGTGAAAATGTAAACCTTTTCACTGACAATTGTATTAATGTTTAAAGTGTTATGAACTGATTCCAAACAGGAACATAAGACAAGACATATTAAAAAAGATTGCTTTTCCAGAACATTTTACTATTTGTATATTTTGTACTTGTTATACACTTGTATTTGTTACACACTTGTTTTGTACTTGTCACACTACTACTACTACTACTACTGCTGCTACTACTACTACTACTACTTGTCACACTACTACTACTACTACTACTGCTGCTGCTGCTGCTGCTGCCATCGCACATCGATAGTCTTGTATTAAGGATACTGCAATACTGCAATACATATCGCATGTATTATACGGGCGACGACATATTTGTTTACACTCACGACAGAACTTGTACACTTATTTGTTTACTGTTTTAGATTGTTAAATTTTCGTTTTTATGCACAGAAACTTGAATTAAAGGATTGAAAACCTATGCTTGTAACCACACTATGCTTTTGCTCGTTTGATACCAAATCATTAACTCGTTTAATAAAAATAGTATTTCACGGAAGCGAGTTTAGTATTCTTTTTCTTACTCTCCAACATAAACAGATAGAAACAGCCTACAGTGGGATGACTCTCATATCAATTTTCCGAGTCAAGCAGGGTCTAATACCATTGTGACAGAGGCATTAGCATTGTGACGTCATAACTGTAACCATTATGACGTCATACGTCTAACGGTATTACACTAGTGTAATATTGATGAACATAGAGATTTTTTGTCTGGGTTACATCTTCTTTTTATTCTCGAGTACAACGTTTCAGGGCTTTACCTGATGATGGGGCCAGAACAAGCCCTGAAACGTTGTACTCGAGAATAAAAAGAAGATGTAACCCAGGCAAAAAAAATTAAAAAATCTATGTTCATCAAATATCATCTTCTAAAATGCCAATCAAGCATCTAGTGTAATATTGCCGTAAAAATATTACACTTCAGTATCTTCCACGGGTGAGTAATAAAGACGGTTATATCTATGGTCAGACCAATGAGCACGGACTGTTACTGCCAAATCTAAAATCTAATAAGACCGAATGGGGACTCTGAGGCTCCCGATCATATGAACATCTATGGGGCGCAAGCAAAGGAGATTTTCAAAGTTCAAGCACGTTCAAGACAAAAGTTCAAGGCCAGCACGTTCACTCACAATCAGTTCCAATGCGTGTGGCAGTGGGCGAATGGTGTCTAGGCTATTGAGATCTATCATGAAGAGTCAAGACAAGAGTGGTATCGCCAGCAAGAAAATACAGGTAGGATAATACCTATTCACTTCAAATGGTGTTGACACCAGATCGTGATACAAAGCTATTCCTAAGTGCCTTGGAAAGTTTACATCACCCCGAAAATATCTGAGGTGAACAAATACGTTATAAGTGGCTGAAATTGAGCTTCAGAAGCAATTTGAGTGAGTTAAAATATAACGTCACCTCGGCAATATTTCAGCCATCTCGTGACGAGAAAGGTTTTACATACACAATAAATGTAAGTCATCGAAGGACTGTAAAATAACTACTGGCTGGCGACCAGTTATCGCCGCGTAACAGTTACCGCCACTTCCTCGTTATAGCGCATGCGCACATCTGATCGTGTCAATTTCGTTGTTTTTCCGAACGGCATTTTCCGAACGATCTTGAATATCCCAAAATATTTCCATGGTAAGTGAAGCAAAATTCAAATCAATAGAAAAAGTTTGTTTTTCTCTAAAATTTTAATAGCGTGGTGTGGGGATGTCACTTGATCCACATAGTGGGGTGTAACTTTCATAAAAAGCCAAAAGTTAGACCGACAAATAAACTTGTGTTTTTAATTACAAAGCAATATTTCTTATAGATTTTATTGAATTTCACATATTGGTAAATAACATGAACAATTCGGAAGTGGCGATAACTGATCCTGTTAGTTGTTGGGAAAGCACAATATGTACTACCGCGCTTCCTGTTGACCGCGTTATAGAAAAACACGATCGGCAACTGTAAACAAGCAGGATCCATCGGTGAATAGCTAATCTTTCATCTAGAGAACTTTTAATTCATTAGGTTGAGAATCTACTGAGGAAATCGCGAAAAAACGCTGAAAAATGGCGATAACTGTTCGCCAGCCAGTAGAGTATCACAGATGGTGTCTAAAACTTGCATGGAAATCTAAAACTAGTTTATTTGCGAAGACAATACAATATAAAAACAGGCTATAGGTCGCCAGCAAATGAAGGTAGATCACCACACTAGGGACCACGGGGACTTACAGTGCTTTTGCTACCTGCATGGACTGTGTGGGAAAGTTTAGCCGACAGTTAAAATTAACAAAAATACTACGTTTATAAATCTGGTAAGTTTCAATTTTACTTTGAAAGTTTTGGGACTTACGTAGCCTCTCAGGTTCTTCAGAAACAAACCATGAATTGTATCACCTCTGCTAAATCAAGCTGATTGCCAGCTGCCCTGTCTAGTGTGCACATGGTTGCCCATGTCTTACTAAATGAAGTCTCTTCTCACGGTTGGGTTGCTGCATGTATCAAGTTGAAGGAAGAAACAATAGACAATTATTCTCCTGGATCGCTTGTTCGGTGAAATATATATTATGTTATGGGGAAAACAGTCAAATATTTGTTTGCTAAACAACGTTTTTCATGATGGTTTATGTTTTATTTTTATTTTTAAACAAGATATTTTTATCTTTCACTATTTCGTCGAAATTAATAATGTAGATGGAGCCTGGTACTCGGGACATTTTAGAGTCAGCCTTGTACTTGTCACGGTTGAACCCGTGAACATCCGGGTTAGAATCGGTTTTCAGTAACCCATGCTTGTCGTAAGTAGGCGACGTACGGGATCGTGTGATCTGGCTGGTTGACTAAGTTGCCGCATGTCATCGTAATTGCGTACATTCGATGCTTATGATGTTGATTACTTGATTGTTTGGTTAAGATTCTATTCTGTACAAACTCGGTTACAGCTGGACTATTGCTGAGTGTGGCGTTAAACAACAACCAAACCAACAAACCATTGCAGAATGAGCTGTATGCCAGGAGTTACACTGATAATGTTATAAAGTAGCAGAAAGGTGACTGCACGTAATGACAATAAAGGAACAGAAACAAGGAAAAGGAAACGTCATGAACACGTTTATCTGGCCGTGATATGGGCTACTGAACACTGATACCGCACAGTACAAAGTTGTGAAAACAGTCAACACCACGCTTAATACGACTGCTATCGATGAAGCTAGATCACAAAGTAAGTGCCAAATATTCAAATATGCATGTATGTACACGCACGCAAGCACGCACGTAGTCACCCTCAACGCACACACAAAGGTATTTTCACACAAACCTTACCTATGTAACACTCATACAAACGTTGATATAGTTTTCTATGTTTACAGGTGATGCATCCAATCATCCTGAAGGGCTTTGTCTTCATGATACACACCATCTATACAATTAACCTGGCACAGAGTGGTAAGTGTCTGAAAGTGTCTGTGAGATTCGCTATATTTAATACCACTGCCCCTTCATTGTCTTCAGACTGTAATATTGCTGAGAGCGGCGTTAAACATACCAACAAACACATGCTCACAGTATAGAAGGAACTGTACAATCGACTCTTAACAGAGATGTCTTACGAATGTGAAAGGGTTTTGTCGCCCATACTTGTATGATGTAAAATGTTCATCAATATCAATATAACTGTATTCAGTAGAAAGGCCACAGGCCCATGTACAATATATAATACTATACAAAAGGAATGATATGCATAATAACTAGAACATATCTGTATACGTTTACAATAATATTGCGCTACGTCGCATAGACGCTTCCTTGATATAATTAGCATATACATAAGTAATTACTATTTTCATTTTGAAGAAGGCGTATGAGAGATTTTATATCTTTACAGTCAACATATTACATATATTTTGTTCTTAAATCATTATATAGTGGCCAGATAAACCTAAATGAACCTCATCTTTTAAAATGTTATTACAACATGGACACAATCTCAATTCTATCTTACCTTCTTTTTAACATAATACGGAATTGTTTTGATATCAAATTTTTTCCATAATTATTCATATACACCTATACTTAACGCATCTTATTATAGAATCACAACAAATATAATGACGACCGCATTCAGAAAAAACAGCTCCATTTGTTGTATTAATACCGAAACCAGTAAAATATTTACAGTATTTTACATGCAAACTTTCTAGCATTATCCACTCATGAAACCCTCATATTTCTGAGCAATATATTGAGATAGGCTTAATTTGTCTATCAAACATCTGAAATAAGACAGTGGGAGAATGATATTTTTAAAATTATGATGAAGCTGTTTAATTGGAATAAGGGCTTTATTCGCTTTATGAACGAGAGTCTGGACTACTTTTGACCAAGATAATCTGCTGAAAATAAAATACCCAAATAGCTCTAATAGCTTGTAATTTTCAACTTCACATAAATAAACATCCATATTTCGTCAATTAAAATGTATCCAACCTTTTAATCGTAGAATGTGTGCCTCTTTAATGCATGGCTAGGTGTGTCTAAATTGCTAACAGTTGAAGGGATGGTGTAAATCCAGCTAGGGTCCATGCAGGAAGCAAATGTACTGTAAGTCCCTATGGTCCCGGGTATGGTGATCTACCTTCAGTTGTTGGCAATCTATACCCTGTTTTACATTGTCTTGTTATTTCTAGTTAAAGTGTTTTAGATTTAATTGCCAGTTTTGAATGGATATCTGTAATATACTAGTAGTTTTACTGTTCTTCGTCAACACGCTTTTAATTTTCTATTTTACTGATTATATGACATAACAATTACTTGTTCTCGTCACGATACGGCTGAAATATTGCCAGTTTGACGATAGATAATAACCCACTCACTCACTCATTTATTTTTCGGCGTACTGTGTTTGCGGCTGTATCGTGGACAGAGATGGTCTGAACGAGAGCATGGACCAATGTTATACAGTCATGTAAACCGTACAAATGTTTTCCTTTTGTTTTGTCTCAGGGAAAGCTGAAGTAAATTGTCCTGACATAGCATTTTGGATGACTCTGTCCGAATTACCTGTTCCACGTCTGTCAACGTCACTAATATCATTTACACCTGCCCGTGTGGACCAGCACCACAGTGTTCCCCGTCACCCTGCACCAATCTAACTGGCTATAATGCTAGCATCGTCAGCAGAACTCAGACAGAGCTTACAATACTCAGTGCACAGCCACGTCATGCAGGGGAACTGGTCATGTTCTGAGGGAGGAGATGAAGGGAAATCCGTTTGTACTCTCATCCTCACAAGTAAGTAGAATTTTGTGGTGTGTGAACTAGGCAAAGCAGTAGCAACTATTATGAGCAACAGCATCCAGTGAGTCAGATTAAATATCTACATAGACTGAGGGCAATTTACAAAATAGGATGATGTTGATTGTCTTACCTTCATGTAAAATATTTTAATTTCATTGGTCAATGACGCTTTAACGAGTTTCCGTGTTACCCTCCCAGGAGGGTGACAACTGGAAAAAATATTTCCCGCTGCCACGGTAACCGCCAAACTCTCCGCCGAGTAGCTTTTAAAAGCGCTAACAATCGTATGATGTCATAATATGACGCATCCCGTGCCCAGAGTTCGAAAACCGTTCGATCAGCTGTTTTGCGTTAACTTTATACATATTTATTTTACCGGCTTTCACTGCTTTATTTAAGGTATATTATACATTGAGTGGTTTGCACACTCAACTTAAACACAATTAACCATTTTATAGCAGTTTTAAGCTTCTACGAATATGTTTCACTAAATTTAAAACCCCGTCGAGAGGCTGACGCGATCGGTCGCGATCTTTAACATAAAATATGATGATATTTTGTACATTTAACATGGCGGTAAGATAAATACGTTGTATGCTTTTCCCTCGGGTAATACGGTTCGATGTACGCCTTTTTGTAGCAGTGTCATCCCTCGCCTACCGGCTCGGGTGACACTGCTACAAAGAGGCATACATCAGACCGTATTACCCTCGAGAGAAGCATACTTATCTTATCTTGACTTCATTTATTCTACTCGTATTCGGCATGTCACAATACGACCAATGACATTTGTGTTGCACAAAGTAGGATATTTGATACAGTTATGCAATCTTTAATGTTTTAGAGATTCCCACGGTCAATATATCCAGTGACGTGGATGTTGATTGTGTGAATCTGGGTAACCGAATAACCCTCACAGTGGACATTGGAGGCTACTACTGCTCTGGGGCCTTACGCCTAACACTACAGGTTGGGAGTGTCAACTATACACTTGGGTCTGGTAGGAACAATACCAACATGACCCTGACCGACACCATACCCATTAATGTGACACAAACACACTTCGGGGACTTGAAGCTTGGCTTTGCCTGTGACAATCATCAGTGGAATATTACACCTGAAGGTTTACAAGAGCTACAGCCAAACAGTAGGTATTATTCGTGGCATGTTTTACATATCACTCAAATATCATATATGTTTTAGAGGCGGTGGGGTAGCCTTGTTGTTAAAACGTTCGCCTGTCCCCAGCCGGGTTCGATTCCCCAGGTAGGTACAATGTGTGAAGCCCATTTTAGTGTCTCCTGCTGGAATATTGCTAAAACGGCGTAAAGACATACTCACTCACTCATTCACTCTTGACGGTCCAAAGGGCAGGTATATAGTGCATGCTCGTCCATGAAATATATGATGAAATTCTGACGAACACATGCAATCATTAAAAGAAGAGTGGATTCCCTGATTCCTACTGTGCTAATGCCACCAAATGTGCCCTGCTCAAAGGAGTGCGCCATAACATACTTGATCGTGTTCGATGGGCGCATTAGAGAGAAAAATACTCTTAATGTCGTGTTCAAGCACAGGCAAAACGTTGATGAACCTCCATCAGTCCAATAGAGAATGCCAACGTCGACGAAATGGGAGATGGCACCTTACATATACACATGTAATTGTCAGAGCGAATATCTTGTAAAAGTGAAGATTTGATATATAGTCCATCTTCATAACTCACATCACCAGACTCACATCATCCAACATATTTGCCAACACAATTTGCTGCTATTGAACATACAAAATAATAACTGACTGTTTTGAAAAGAGCTCAATGTATTCTCTTACAGGAAGTAATGCACCAACCACTCTTTCCCCAGGAACTACTGCTGCAGGAAGTACGCCGTCGTCATCGGACGCTTCAACTCTGTTGATAATTGCAGTAGGAGCTTCTTCAGGTGTTATTATCGTCATAATCATCACTGTCATCTGCTGCTGCTGTCGCGGTAGGAAACAAGCAAATACAGATGTGAAACACCTCTTCTAACCAACCTTCTGAATCTCCCAATGTATCTTTGAAGGATTATCCTGTGCGGGTTATTCCGAAGTTATTATTGGATATCACCACGAAAGGAAGTGTAGCAAGCAGCAAGGCAACTCACAGAGCTTTGCCTCAAGTGTATGGGCATAGCACTGAAAGATCCTGTCCATGATAGCAACGGGAAGGAGGAATCAACATACGACAGACTGTGCCTGAGCTAAACTCATAAACCATAACAGAATGTACACGTTACCCTGCTCTGAGATACACACATTAGCATAGTTAGGGATCGTTCAAGTCAAGTAACAAGAGCAACTAAATACAATCTGAATTGGTATAATACAATGTGTGTAATATCCTGAAAGCAATTAAAAATGCAATTTGACATTAATACTTTCTTTACTCACACTAGTTTCAACATATATAAACCTTAACTGGCAGATATGTTTTAACTCAACATCTGTGAATAATTTCATCTGAAAATGTCCAGTCAACAACAACATCAGTGACGCAACAACGACATCAAACAAAGGAGGGGTCACTTGCAGTCAATATCGTGTGTGTCCACCGTGCGCTGCAAGACATGCTCGCAGTCTTTGGGGCATTGAAAGACACACATTTCTCAGGAACAGCTGTTGGATGGTCTGCAGCCTCTGATGGTCTGTGGTCTGATCATGACACCACCCCCTCCAAAACGATCATGTTCAAGGACACAGTTTGGCGCAAGTCTGTGGCGATGCAAATAAGGTTGGACCACGGTACGGGTGACGACACCGGATGTTGAAGGTAGCAAGGCGTCCCAACTGTCCTTGCCTAATCATCAGCTGTTTGGAACCGATTTCGCAAGTGTGAAACTCGGATATTGCGGTTTTGTCGAACTGTTATCACAGGTGGTGCACCAGGTCGCGGACGATCAGCAACACTTCCGGTAGCCCGAAAACGTTGTCTGAGTCGACTTACAGTGGATGGATGCACATTAAAGTGCCTGGCAATCATCACATCTGAAGCACCTTGGCTGACCATACCGATAACCTGATTCCTTTCGCCTTGTGTCAAGTGTGGCATTTTCTCAAAGTGATTGAGTTCCACAATTCCTAGTGCTTTTACAGCGCCTGGGTGCAGGTAATGCATGTGCACAACGAGTTTCATGAAAGTGGTTGTGTTTATGAGAAACGTCAAAGGTTCAGTTTTAAGTATCAAAGTTCATGTGAGAGGAATGCTCCGGGACTCGAACTTAAAATAGGCCAGAATAACATCCTCTGTATCGCAAGAAAAAATCTTCAACTGAACTTTTGTTAGTTTCAGGACAACAAATACCAATTGCGTTTTTAATGGCTTTCAGTATATGTTCATGACCTTCATGCTTTGTTTATACGTTTAACAGTTAGGCTCATGTGAAAAAGACAAGAGCATATCCCCATGTTGTTCAGGATAGGGTCACACTTTAACTGCAGCAAATTCATTTTGTATGTTAACGATTGCTACTAGTGTTTATTTTTACAGGGAACTGTCACAATACGGAACTTTTGATTTCGGTTTCATTTGTTGTTGTTTTGCTTACTTTCGTTTGTTCAGGCAGATTCACTTAGCTACATTTGCATTCGCTTGTTGCCCGATCACCGGATGTATTTACGTATGCACGACTGGCTTTTTAAGCTCACGCTACCAATAATATCCAGCCCATTCAATCACTCACCACATTTGCTTTGAAGTCAGTTGCAATCTTAATGCTTTTGTTTCATGTTCATTTCTTGCATTATTATTGACATAACTTAGTTCTTATGTACGCCATCGTACTGTGTGTGTATATATATATATACACACACACAATGTTACTGACTCCGCAGTTTTCATTTTTCATGCAATTGATGTAGGTTTCAAATGAGTATGCTTTTGGACAACACTTATAAACATGGAGAATGTATTTTCAGTTGAAAGACACTGAGATGGTGATGTTATAGTCACCGTAACCATTTGGCAAATCTCATAGTAAACGTCTGTCCTATGAACTGAATCTTAAAGCAGTAGTTTGGTAAAGTGTTCGTCAGAAGAGTTGTGAAACAGCGCTAGCATCAAGCTTTGTGACGGTTATTCACTGGTTCCAGTTACCCTACATATGTTCCTATAATACATTTGCCAGCTCGAATTGTGAACTGCCGTGATTCACATAAACTTTCAAATATTTCTACATCTTTAAAGATTTCTCACTTTTTCGAAATTAAAAGCGTTGAGAATATCAGAAATGTCATAAGTAATAGAAGTCCTCAGGTATGTAATGAAGCCCTTAGTCACGAATGACAAAGACTTAACTGGGTGAAAAAGCGCGGTATGCCCTCACCCTTGATGAAATATACACAAAAAGAAAGACGTTTAAACTTGTGTAGGGCTCACGAAATGTGTGAAACTACCGTGAAACCTATCTAACGACGCCCAAGACATAGTCCGAAATTTCATGTGGGGTGAGATATCATCACGTGGAGTGACGCTGTTGTGTATTTTCGACGAAGGAACAACATGTTAACATCTTAAAGGGTAACCTCCTTCCAACGGCCCAAACACTGTATGAAGATAATTGGATTTTCCAGCAGTATAACGGCCCAAAACACTGCGTGGTACACAAAACAATTGTTGTCTGGCGGATCCAGAGAGGGTGTATCCGGCCCAGTTTTAGAGTGGCCAAGCTACAGCCCATGTCATTTGTTAGTGTGGGAACTAAGGAAGGCCAGAATTAACCAAATCTGACTTAGAAATATTAAGTTTATGAAGGAAAAAGTGGTCGAATATTGGGATACGCTGCCATATGATGTCCTACAAACTTTGATCTGTAATGTACCTAGTCGCAATTCAGTCGGATGAAGACAAGTCTTTATGGATGATCAGCTTCTTTATGGCATAATAGCGACGTTTCGGTATAGGTACTTATACAGGTTTCAAGCATCATGCTTGCAACTTATAGAATGCCTCTCAAACAATGCATTCAGTCGTGTATTGCATGGCAAGGAGGTCTCACAAAGTACTGAAAGGACACTTAGACTGTAAAAGAATCATATCTCAGCATGTTCATTTAAGTAAAACTTCTATAGTTTATATACATGTATTAGATATTGCCGAAACAATTTCCTCAAATAAATTCTGGGAATACTACATGATATCCACAGAAAACTGAAATAACAATATAATGCTCAGATACCACATAAGAACAGATTGATATCAATTATGCAAAAGGTGAAATTACGGAGAGGGAAATGAATTCCTAGTTCATGTTGTTGAAGGTATTCATTACATTCTTTTGTACTTCTTTTGAAGTTAGAAAGTTGTAATTTGATACATTCTTTTGAAACATTGTATGATGTAACACTGACCTGAATGCCTTAATAAACAGTTGACATATAGACTGAATTACAGAAGCATTAGTATTCATATATGAAATAAACCCAGTTTAAACTGCTGTCACGTAACCCCCAGCATAGGTTGTACTATTTAACCCATGTACTGTTGGAGACCCTGTGCAAACTGAATAACATATTTTACAACTGAATTCAACAATCCCACGGAAAACGGAACGAGGTAAATATAACCCGTGTTCAATGCAAGAGATTATATAGCTAGTTGGTATTGAATTATTCCTTTGACTCTGAAATGATCATGAAATGTGTTTATAAATAACATTACTCGTTACAATAAATCGCAAACATTTTCCTGTTAGTTTAAATGTTGCTGGAACGAGAGGAACATGTTTCAATGAACTTGATTAATAATGAATGGAAGTAAATGACATTTCAAATTGTTGAAGCGAAAGGTTATCATAAAATGTGTATAAACATTTTAATGACCATTCCCAACCAATTCTCAATAAATACTTGATCGTATAGTTATAATGGGTACAGTATGTCGTATACCACGACTATGGTTGTCCAGTTATATATATGTTTCCCATCTCCCACCCGCAGTGAATTATCATTTCCACGTAAATAATTACTGTAAACAAAACCACATTTCTTTACTGTGAAAATAGCCTTATTTTATAGCAAGTTGTTTTCTGTGTCAAAAATATAGGGTTTTACAAAACCTAAAAATATCATTTGATAAGCCAGTATGTTGTTTAACTAGTAAACAATATTATGTTTGCAATCGTTTTCCATAAAGCTGTTATACTACGGAAATCTGCAATTAGTCTTTAATATGCTTTATGCCAGTTCAAATTTATAGTGTGCCCATAAACAAAATGCGCGTCTTAAATGTAGATTCTGGAGAACAAATTACACAACAGTGGTCACTGATGTACCTGGAACAATGTGATTGGACATAATATAGACGTCACATACAGGAGACTCTGATTATAGCTATAACAGAATGTGTTTCAAAAGTAGCACAATTATCAATCCGAACCTGCTGCTATGAAGTGACAGTGGCCCGCGTGAGTGCGTGGTGAGTGACGTTTAAACAGTAATCCAGTTATAGCTGGCAGTGTGATATGACATGGACGCCTTGATTTGATTAATAACTCGGGTTGGTATGCGTCTTTAGCAGCCCATGCTTGTCGTTAGAGGCGACTAACGGGATAGTTTTGTTTTGGTTGTTGCATGACTTCGAATACCATTTGCCCAGATGTTCATGACATCGGTCACTGGATTGTCTGGTTCAGACAAACAGTATTTACAGATCGCCATGATTTAAATGGACACTTGCTGCATGCGACGTTAAAAGCTAACAGTCTAATCGAAAATACACATTGAAGGTTTCTATAGCTGCAGTAGCCGGGAGAAACATTAGGAACAGTGTTACGACCTGAAAATGACACTGACACCAAAGTATGCTTATGAAACATAATCTATGCTAAACAAACGAAACAAGGAAGCTGCTATATGCGACATCTCCGGCAGATACACACAGGAGCAGGGAAGTTCTGACTTTTGCATATCACAGTAGTACACTGACAATCCTACTTGACTGAAACCAACATTACTACCTCTGGCAGGATGTTGCGGCGTGGAAGCAATCCAGTTTCTGATCACTAGCTATAGATAATTTGAAGCTTGA